AGCCCACACTCACTAATGAAAATAGAATAAATTAATAAAAAAAACAAGGTCAGAGCAGAGTTTTGCTGCCGGGAGGGGAAGCCTAGGCGAGCAGATAATGTTTGGGCGACTTTCAACAAGTTTGGGCGTTTTTGTTTTCACACCAATCAACACGATACACAATAACGCAATAACGAGAGGAACCGCATGGGACTTTCACTCCTGTCCAGTCTTATGGAGGTGCTCCGGCACAAATGAACGAGCGTCTGCTACGTTCAGACCTCCCCAGTGTTCAGCTGTTGCAGAGATTCAATTCTTCGATGTACGAGTAGGCAGGATCTGTGTTTGCCAGATGTTCTCACAGTAGCCGAGTATCATTGATGATATTCATTTTTATGCGTGATGCAAAAGCTGTTCTACGTTTTACCAAAGGTTTTACATAACTTGTTTTCTCAATCCTGGCAATGTTTTTAAAAAGCCAATAGATTACATTACAACATGTTTATTCAAATATTAGCCTAAATTACATTTTTTTCTTTGATAAATGAAAATACTGTGTTACATTTAACATGTTTTCTCAATACTGGCAACATACATTATTCATAAGTTTATTCAAAGATCAAATGTTTTCTATGATAAAACGTTGTTGGGCATTTTTTGCTGAAGAGGGCAGGTTTTTGATAGCCAGGCTGGCGCCAACTAGTGCCTCCACTCAATTTCATTTCTCTCCAGCGACTAAGTCAGGAATAGGAATACACTAGACGTTCTGCAAAAACCCCAGAAGTGCAAGTTCGGGCATCAGACAATCAGCGAAGAGACACACATTTTGTGTTGGCAACGATTCCCGAGATCGAGGATTTAAAGCCAGAACAAAGAGAATGTTTGGTGAATTTTATCAAGGGGAAAGACGTTATTGTCCTTCTTCCTACGGGATTTGGGAAAAGCTTAATCTACCAGTTAGCCCCGTTAGCAGCGCATTACATATGTCATAACCAAATAGCAGCGATTGTTTAAATAAAAAAGGTACCCGCTTACCGTCAAGCGAAAAAATCCTAATGCTGCGAGGTCAGACGGTTTCTACGAGGTGAAACCAGCTGATGAATCAGACTTGGTTTTCGAGAGTGATTGGGTGGAAATCACTAAACCCAATCTGGCAACACTGAATGGCGGTGGTCTCATTTTGACCCTAAGCGACACTTTTACAATAAAATACCAGTATGACCCTTTTAAATAGCTGAATTTTTCTTTTTCTTTTTTTAACCATTGGAAAATATGAAAACATGCTTTGTGTATTTTTATTATCTAAATTGTAGTTTGCATTTGTTATTATTAGAACAAGGACAAAGGTGCTTTCATTCTGCAGTTGGTACCGTAAACGTGCTCTAGTCCTGTTTTCTGTTGTCATGACAGATGTGGCGAGATAAACCGGTTTCCTCGCTGTGACAGATATAATCAAAGACGTGACAGCTCTACGGACAACACACGGAAATCTCAGAAAGTACAAGAGACGTGAGAGACGTAAGTTGATAAAGGAAAAACTTGTTGTGTAAGAGTAATAACTCGCACATGTATCAATATTTTTCCTTGCTTCTAATGAGCCATGTATTGTCATGGGAAATAATAATTACGTTTACACAGGGCTGCAAGATTCATCTTAATCAAATCAGAATCGCAATTAGCAAATCGCAAAAGCGGCATTTCTGGAAGTACCATAATTTCCCCCACAAACAACAAAAATAAAACTAAATCTTACTGTAGTTTTGATCTGTGCAAACATGTTCTGAAATGTGATTCTTGTGTTAGTTTGTGGGCTCATATTTAGTCTTTTTGTCAATTTTTCTGCATTTAACATATGTGAACTTTGAACAAAATTACTTTAGGGTCCGGTCAAGCGGTAATGGAGGGAAATGGGGCAGATTTTTTACATTCAAATGTCTCTTATTCAGAAACTAGAGGGACTATTGAAATAAGTAAAGTATCAGAATGTAGGAAAGAGTTACACTCCAACAGGGTAAAGTTAAACCTGTGATATTCTTTCAAGTTGTTGACAAAAAATTTTAAAACTCATGTCGGTAGCGGAGGGAATGAAATATGCAGCACTTTTTGGGCAATAAATACAAACAGTGATAACTCTTGGTTCTCACTTACATATCCTTAACAAACTGGTTTGAATATTTGCTTCATATAGTTTTCTACCATATGGAACAAGATTAGGTTGAAAAACCTCTTACTTTTTGAGTAATGAGATTTTTTATTATGAAAGGTCACGGTAACGGAGGGAAAAGTAACGGAGAGAAAATTGTGCAAACAAGCAGAAGGTGCAGGATTTTTCTGAATATTTTAATATTACTTCAAAATGAAAGGAAACAATTTCTATAAAATATGTCAGTCCTTCCAAGCAAATTTTTATCATTTTAAATACATTTTTTTTGAAAAATCATGTATCTTCATCAACAGTTCAAAGATCGAATAACACAAGATATGATGAAATACATCCATTTATTTACATGATTTGTAGGTCCTTGAAATTTGGGAAATAATTTTTGTTCCATGTTTCATACATGGTCTGTTTAAAACGTATGTAAGTTTAGAACCAAAAATGATACAGAAAAAAGGTAAACAGTTTCATAAACTAGAGTACATATGTATCTGTTGAATACATTTTTATATCAGATGCATTAACTTGAATTTTTGGCCTTGCTGTTTACTTCTGCTTGACCGGACCCTTTATTAAAACATAAATCGTTAATCTGATCTGAATTCTGCAATTAGGTACTTTTCCCAAATGTTTCAGCCTCACTTTTACTGCTAATATAACTTCTTGTGTGTCTGTCAAGTAAAAATGTGGTTCTTATGAAAAAGTGCTAAAATAATTATTGTCAAATGTCACAAAGTTTTAATCATTAAAAAGACCAACACTTGAACTTCTTACCATGCCAGCATCAGATGTGTCATGCTGGAAATATGAAGTCCAACCTGATTCTCTTGTACAACGTCATTTTTTTTCTCAGTTGCACAACAGCAGAAGCACGAAGTAACATTTACAGCACTGTCTGAACGGGCAGCTGGGGAGGTCAAAGGTCACGGGCCGGCTCTGTAAAGGTCGCGACGTACCGAAGGGGGGAAACGACTGCGCTTTGAACTCAAATAAAGCATGAAATGACAATTCAGTTAGAGGAGGGGAGGGATGATGGCTCACTCGCGACTCGCGGAGCTGCTGACAGCGCAGACGAGTCACTCCAAATCTGGTCAAAGTATTTCTCAGCTCATAAATGATGGTTTTGTTTAAATTTAGCCCCGTTAGAAAAGAGCAGGGAGAAAGTTCAGTAAATGAAAGGGGAAAATGGTCAACATTTACGCAAGATTATTTACAGCAAAAAGTGCACCCATGAAGAACCAGAAGCATTAGCACTTGGATTGTGGATGTGGAGAGAGAATTAAAAATGTTTTGATGGGAGACAATTCTGAATTTGTCAAGCAGTGCTTTTTAGTTTGAGCTTAGTTAAAGCAACTAGGTCTGTAAACAGTACTGAAAATCAGATACTAATGGTTACGAAAACTAGTATCGAAACTAGGTACTCATTTGAGCAGGTATTGATACTAAAAAAGTCACATTTACAGGACAGAAGTGAACCTTTCGTGAATAGCTGTAAAATGATCTGTATCAGAACAAGAATAAGGCAAGGTTCCCACTCTTTTTCACTGACAAAATTTCAAAACTTTTCATGACCTAAAGTGAATTTTCCATGACTTTACAGCACCTGCATGTGTAGAACTGATCAGACTTTTAGGGCTAAATATGAAATGTTAACCTTTTCCACTCACCTTATGGTTTGGTTTTATAGTTTTTTAACATTCGGAATACTGTCAGTGCATTTATTGTCGTCTCTTTTAAACAAAAGGTGCAGATGTTCAGAAATAATCATGACTTTTCCAAAACTTTCATTGAATTTACAAAATTCCCTCATGAGATTTCCAGACCTGGAAATGACATTTTCAATTTCCATGGCTTTTCCAGGATTTCCATGACCGTGGGAACCCTGATAAGTCCACATAGACTTATAACTCCACATAGACTTATAACTCCATGATAAGTCCACATAGACTTATAACTCCATGATAAGTCCACATAGACTGGTATAAATCCATGAACCACGATGACGCACATGTAAGATTGCATGGTAATATTAAAGAAAGTATTATAATTTTATGTTCAAAATGTCATATTATTGTCTAAATCAGGGATGTCAAACTCAAATTCACAGAGGCCAAGATTAAAAACTGGGACTAAGTCATTTTCTCTTCTTTCGAAATATATAATGTATTAAAATAAATGTTTAATAATAGTTTTGTTTAAACTTTCAATCCAGAAAAAGCATAATATAAAATAATTACAAAATATTAAATAAATAATGTCTCTATAGTCTATCTGTAGCCGGAGAGCAGCTCTAATACATATTTGATATGATCTAGTGGGCCAGATATAATTATATCGTGGGCCAAATTTGGTCCCTGTGCCTGAGTTTGACATGTCTGGTCTAAAGAAAAAGTGTTTTTTATTATCATCAAGGTATTGGAATCAGTATTGTGTAGCAAGTCTATTCATTAGTATGAAAATAGGGCCAGAATAAGTAATCAGGATGATATCAGGATTAGCACTAGAGCTGACAGTAACTAATCCAGTCCCATGTGTAATAAGAATCTGTGGAGATGAGATATTGTGTTGAGAACTACAGAACTACAGAACAACCTAAATTACCTAAATAATAACACTCTTTTCCTGTTGCAGTGTGATAATTCAAAATGAGATTTCAGTTCTGTTGCAATTGACCTTAAACTCCTAATTACCACGTCAAATGGAACTTCAAGTAACCAATACTAACTTTGAAACCCTCTACAGATTGACATGAAAGCCTATCTATCTAAACGCATCGATTGAAACCAAAGGACGGGTGGAAGTGAAAGTGGATCACCCCAGAGGTCAGAGGTCACAGATGTGTAACAGGAGTGGGTGCTGGTACCTCATAAGCGTTCTTGATATTGAGTGGTTGTCCCGTGGCGGCCACATGTCCCACAATGCCCTTGTTCCACTCCAGCCTGATGCAGCTGCTGGACGACTCCTCCAGCGTCGAGCCCTCGGCCACGTCAAAGAGCCGACTCACCAGGAATTTAGTGTTAGAGCTGTCCTCACCCACCTGGGACAGAACGCAGGGAAATGTCAGAATGTGGGAAACACAAATACTGTCCTCAGGCTGTTTCATGTGCAGCATCTCTCACTCGGTTTAACTTCTACTGCACAGACTGTGGAGGGCAGAAAATCTCATCTTAACTGGGTTCATGCTGGACTGACCTGTGTCTAGCACTGTGAATTGAGTTCTGCACATTATCAGTCTGGGAAAAGCTGTAAGGTCATGACGACTATTTGAGTCTGACTGGTCAAAGCGTCACAACGGAACAAGCCAAAAAATTAAACTTTTGTTACTTCTTGCTGAGAGAAAAGCACAGGCATCTAGTATGTCTGTCAGTGCTGCCATGTTTGTTTTGGCTTTTGCCCCCACACAAACCTCAGTGCTGCTCTGTGATTGGTCCATCAGTTTGATTAACCTCACAGCAGACGCGTGCCAAAATGGATTCTTGACTTTGTGAACTCACAAATTTTGCGAGAATCCTTCTTGCTGTGCAAAGTTAATCTCAGATGAGATATGTAACATTTTGTAATAGTGCAAAATTTTGTCATTCCTGAAATAGAAAATACTCGTGTAAATGATCACTTCTACTGATGTAATATTTGCAATGTTAGTAATACTGTAACTAAAATTGCAGGTACCAATATTGCAAGTTGATATGATTTACAAAATCATCATTGTTATAGCATAAAATCATTTTTAAAGCCATTTGCTGTGCATGGCATTTATTGTATTGTATTGTTTTGTCTGTGATGGACTCCTCTGAAGGGCAAAGGAATCTTCCCATTACAATAAAAAAAACCTATATATTCTATGTACTATAAATAGATATTCTTGTACAGTGTGTACGTGTGTTCCTCATGCCTGTAGTGTGACAAAGCAGTGTCCTGCTCACAGTGGCGCAGCTGCTCCTCTGACCTTTGACCTCTCAGCAGGTCCACAGACATCGTCCTCTTTGAGCCTGGCTTCAAAGACCTCCAGCACAGAGCAGCACAGAGCAGCACAGAACGCCACACAGCGCCACCGAGTACCTCAGAGGAGGCAAAATATATTTGTCTATTGGTCTGAGAGCACAATGACTTGTGAGTGCGTCACATTCACAGTCTGTGCCTGCTACTGTCATGTTTAGTGTCTCACACTAAAGAAGAGGACTTTTTCCGTTAAGCACTCACCAGTACAATGTGAATACTGTCACAGATGTATATATCTTTCACTGTTGCCTGAGGATGATGAGGATGATGATGTGTTTTTTATATAACTGCATAATGCACTCTCCAGAGCTATTTTCTGTGAGGTGAGGCAGTGTAAAGGCACATCTTTGTTAGAAATGACAGTGACAACAGCAATGTTCTGACAGAAAACTGCTGGGACAAGAAGCCTGCTGTGCCAGAGCTGGAACTGTTCTGCCTCGGTTATTATGCTTTATACAACTTTTGATGCATTGGAATACTTACTTACTCTGTCTTACTAGACAATTTATTCATATATGTGATGGTAGAAAATTACATTTCAATGATGCAATTCAAGAATTTTAGTTTTTGGTTGCAGTTTAAGCGAGATATTATTTTAAACAAAACATCAATTATTCTAAGTATTTTGGACTTTCTGTTTTAGTTTAGTTTAGTAACTCCACTCAAGGTCGACCCACTCTAACAGTCTAACCACAGCCCATGAGTGAGAAACACAGCGACAGTACCAGACTTTTCCAGACACTAGGTGGTCACATAACTCATACTCGTACTTGTACTTGTACTTGTACTGAAGTACTCATGTGTTCTCACCAGGAACAGGGAGTAGCGGTCAGCGGCGATCAGCTCGTTGATGTGGAGGAAGATCTTGTGGCAGAGAGCTGTCACGTCCAGATGGCTGGAAACCTCTTTGACCAGCTCCAGCAGCCGTGCGCACCGGTCCCCCTCGCCCCCCCGAGCGCACTTCCCCCTCCTACCCCCCCTCCTCCTCCTCCCCCTCCTCCGCCCTCGCCCATCGCCGGCCCCCTCGTCGTCTCCCTCTCGGCGTCGCTCAGGAACGTGAAGGCCCCCTCCGAGTCCTTGACCACGATGGGTCTGAGGGGCCGGTCGAACTCGGAGGCGGAGATCTTGCGGGTGGGCGTGCCGGGGGCGGGGCTCGGGGCGGTGGTGGCGGGGGACGGGCAGCGGTTGTCGAGGAGCGTGAGGGCGGGCGGGAGGATGGTGGGGCAGGCGGTGGTGTCCGGGGAGGGCTGGTGGAGGCGCTGCTGAGGCGGAGAGTCTTTGACAGAAGTAGAAGAGGGGTGCTGGATGTTGTGGACGCGCTCGGCGAACCAGGCATTCACCATCTCCCTGGAAACAACACCGACAAGATTATTAGAAGAGACAATACGGATTAGGGCTCCAAAAGAAAATCAAAACTCTGATCTTTTTCACTGACAATATTTCAAAACTTTTCCATGACTCTTTCATGACCTAAAGTGAATTTTCCATGACTTTACAGCACCTACATGTGTAGAATTGATCAAACTTTTAGGGCTAAATATGAAATGTTAACCCTTTCCACTCACCTTATGGTTTGGTGTTATAGTTTTTTAACATTCAAAATACAAAATTCTCTTTCAAACAAAAGGCGCATATGGTCAGAAATAATCATAATAGTCTAATGAGAACTTAACAGAACGCTGTAGTTGCTCGAAAGTGACTAAAATTCCAAGACTTTTCAGAACTTTCATTGAATTTACAATATTCCATGACTTTTCCAGGCCTGGAAAATTACATTTTCAAATTCCATGACTTTTAGAGGATTTCCATAACCGTGGGAACCCTGTAATCAATACTGAATCTAGCACTGAAACTAGATACTCAGCAGGTATCAATGCTAAAAAAAAAGTCACATTCACAGGACAGAAACAAACCTTTTCTGAATAGTTTTAGAATGATTTGGAGCTGTATCAGAACAAATATAAGAGCACATAGACAAGTAAACGCCCATGGACCACTGTGGAACCTACCAGGACCACTGACGGATTACACAAATATAACTTTACATGGTAAAATAAAAGAAAGCACTACGATTTCATGTTGAAAATCAAATCATATTGTCTAAAGAAAGAGAGCTTTTATTATCATTGTCATATCGAAATTGGTATTGAGCATCAAGTATCAAGTACTGAGTCTATGAGTGTGCAAAAATATCAAAATATTAATATATCATATAATTTAATGCGATGATCCAGATCGATATCATGGGCTGCTGTATCAATATATCACCAAGAGTATTTTTTGATATAATTTACTAAATTATTTTGTTACAACGCTACAGTTGTTTTGGAAGGAAACTCGTTTATGCGACATATTTGACATTTTCACTGTTTTGATGATTAAAATGTTTGTGTTTCATATTAACTTTGCACAAAAACAAAGACTTTTAGTATCACAGCCATGATTTTGCCATTATTTACTTTTATTGAACCTTATCGAATCAATCTGAAATATATCGTATCGAATCAAAAGCTCACTGTGTCGAGATATGTATCGTATCGGCAACTTCTTAACGATACACAGCCTTAATTGAGTCTGTCCTTAGTAATGAAATCGAGTATGAATTGTTAGTATTGTGACGACACTAAGATGGACATTACAATATCACATTTTAGAGTTTGACGATTTGACATCTAATGGTGATTTTTCTGACAGACATTCTGATTAAATTTGCGATTTATGTTTTAATAAAAGGACTGCAGAAGAACTGACAAAAAGACTGAAATATGAACTAACAAACTAACACAAGAATCATGTTTCAGAGTGTGCTGTACAGATGTAAACTACACGGTGAGCAGTTTTTTACGCAGAATAAGCCATTTTGAGATTTTGTTTTTGTGGAAAAATGATGGTACTTGATGGTAGATTTGCTAATTGCGCTTAATTTTGCCGCCGTAGTTACAAAACATCACGATTTCACAATTATTCAACGTTACGCCCTGACCAAAATCCTTAATCCACTTTCAATCAATGCTCAGATCACGATTCCTCAAGTGTACATTATTGTTTACTTCTTACAGTTATATTGTAATCTGAAAAAAAACAAAAAAACAAAAAAAATCTGTTTACCAAATCATCTTGACAGGCCCAGCGTGCTGACAAGCGCCTGCAGCCAAGACAATGGGGAAGATGTGCTAAGCTGACAGTTACATAAGTTTGAATGCACTGGCTGTGTGCTAATGACAAAAGGAGAACATGTGTAACGTTGAGCCACAGCGAGAAGAACAGAACACAGCAGCACAACGTGTCATATCATACAGAGCACAAGAACTTACTGGAAGTGGGTGGTATCAAAGCTTAAAGGTTGCATGGAGGATTTTTTTTTTTAGTTTCAAATTGTCAATGAAATACCATTACAGAGAAGCAGCAGCCTTGTAATTATGATGACCAAAAAAAAAAAGAACGAAAATCTATCAACTGTGGATGTAGTGAGGCCAGAGAAACAACAGCCAATAGAAAACGAGGCTCCCTCTTTATCTATTGGCTGTTAGGTTGTCAATCGAACTCCCTATGTTTCTAGTGTAACTGACTCACCGGCGCGGGGATTATGTGGTTTATGCAATGGTTCTTAGAGGCTTTTTTAAACTGTAGCTTCCTCACAGTTTGCACAAAGTTTGTTGCGATGAGGTCGTTGAAAGAAGAAGAGAAGGGGAAAAGGAGCAAAGACAAACTGAGGTGATTCTTGGAGATTCCTTCCAGTAATTGTGCGAATGAAGCAGACGAAGGGTCTAAAAACTGACGTGTCAGTCCCTAAATTATTTCTAGACAGGTCACTTCAACAGTAATTCTGAACACGCACTGGCTGTAAACAAGTGTGATTTCTAGAAAAATCCTCTATACAACCTTTAAGCTCCAATTTAAAGCGATTATTGTTTGCTACTGACCATTACAAATACATCCTTTTTCTGTAATTGATCATCAAATGTACAAGTTTGGTAAAAGAACATAAAAAAAACAGTCCTACTTTACTTCATCACGCTGGGGGGATTCTGTATCTACATCAGGTCTTAATGTTCATCAGTTACCATGGCGACTAGGGCTGCTTGATTATAGAAAAAAATCATTATCACGATTATTTTTGGTCAATTTTGAACTCACGATTATTCAAACGATTATTTTTAGTTACATGATGCATTTATTCAGCATGTCTCTCAAAAAAAAAAAAAAATTCTTATTGATAATTTACGCAAAACTGTCAAAATGAAAATTAAATATAGGCTACAAATCTGTACAATAGAGCAGTTTTGCGATGTATAAAACAAAAAACTATATATCCAGCTATTCTACCAACTCTTTATTTAAAAAATAAAATAAACATACTTATTAATATAAAAAATATCCCAAAATTACTTTGTTAAGCTTTATCGTTTCAACTAAATTATATGAGTTTGGAGATCATTTGACACCCAAATCGAAATTGCGATCAAAATTTGATTAATTGCACAGCCTTAATGGTGACACAATACAAACATGAACAAAAAAAAAGGTTTAAAATGGTGTGAAAACTCAAGAAAAATGTATGAAAAAGGAAAAGGAACACATTTTCAGGAGCCTGCGATCAATACAAGCATTCATGGTCCAGTTTAGGAGTTTGATTTTCAACAAAAAAAGTGAAAGTGACTGTTGGATAATGCTCGCAAACTTGTAACTATAATGTTATTTGAGAAAGACTTTTAGCTCGGTCAGCTCCTTCTGGTCAGATTGTGTTAAAATACAGCTCAGAATAAAGTCTTCAGTGCCTACAGTTAGAGTCAGCTTTTTATAGTCAACAATTAAAACAATCATACTTGTATTCTGATAATTCTTATCTTTATGACTTCAAAATGTCAACAACAAAAAAAAAGAAACAATTTTAACATTACAATGCAAAAACTAATATCTAGCCACGTTAAGATGACTTGAATTAAGAAAGTTTTATTTAAATTTGAGTAAATTTCACTGGACAAGTAAAATGATCTGCCAATGGAACAAGACTTTTTGTACATAAATATGAAAATACACTTTGTTACACTTAAGAGAACAACTTTGTACACTTAAAATAAGAAACAAAATCTAATGTTGCTTGAATTCAGAAAAACACACTCCACATTGGTAGATAATTTTACTTGTCAAGTTGAATCGACTCAAATAAAGTCAAATGTTCTTAAATTAAGTCATTTTAACTTACTTAGATATTGCTTTCTGCAGTGTACAAAATCTTGCTCCTCAGACCAGAATGTTCAGATTGAAAATGACTTAGATAACGACCTCATACCTCTGAGACCTTTTCCACCATTAATTATACTTAAATAAATATTCTCCAGGATTGACTAGTCGACCAAGTGAAAAAATTACTTCTAACTAGACCATTGATTTGGATGTTGCGTTGCCAGATGTACTTTCAGCCTTCGACAAAAATGCAACAGACTCACACGCAAATATTATTCTTATTAAAGTCTGATTTGGTATTATTTTTCTACACACAACATTTTCCACCAAATAAGTGTCCCACTGCTCAACACAGGTTTGAAAAACACTGGACGACAACTAAAATAATCGTGAGTTGCAGCTTATTCTTTAAAGAGTCCATATTAAACTATTTTCTGATCTATGTTATAAAGTTCATCACAAACAGACCTGGAGTTGTGTTCTGTTTCATTCACACATGTTTAACACACAAACCCTGTATATTTAGGCTGAGTTCTTCTTCAAAGTGAAAACACCGTGTGGTAATACAAGAAGGAAGTGCTCCACTGTGTTTTTAAACTCCAAACACCTTCACTAAAATCATTTTGGATTATTTCAACCCTGGAATTGCCGATTTCTCCTGAGATTCTGCGCTCTTCTCTCGCAGTTAATGTCTCTCTCTTTTAATTTTAGGATGATTATTTATGTTTTGATTTGTTTTAATTGTGATTTTAATCTATTTCTTATTCTGTAAAGCACTTTGGATTACTTTGTGTACGAATTTTGCTTTACACGGGGTTCCCACTCTTTTTCATTGACAAAATTTCAAAACTTTTCCATGACTTTAAGGCACGTACATGTGTAGAATTGATCAGACTTTTAGGGCTAAATATGAAATGTGAACTCTTTCCACTCACCTTATGGTTTGGTGTTATAGTTTAACATTCAAAATACTGTCAGTACATTTATTGTCATCTCTTTTAAAGGCACAGACGTTCGGAAATAATCATAATAGTCTAATGCACAGGTGTCAAACATACGGCCCGGGGGCCAGATCCGGCCCTCCAAGACCTTTAATCTGGCCCTCGGCTGATTTTCTACTAAAATATTTTCATTATATTTTCTATTAAAATATTGTTAAT